GTAGAAAGGAAAATGATAAGGGGCGAAGGGTAACCCCAGAAAAAATGATTGAATCTAACGTGGCTTGGCACGTCAGATTCTCTAAAACTTCTTATGTGTGAAGAGTAAAAGAAGAAGGTAATGTAGCGATAAACATTGTGAAGATGACAGGAAGAAGGTGGGTATATACATATAGAAATATATATACACACACAATTACATATATGTTAGTAATAAATCATAAATATTCAAATATTTTTTTCTACAAATTTCTCAATAGATTTAGGTATTACTCAATGATCTGATTTTAAGAATTACATGATCATCTTATATTCGAATCACGCACAAAAATTCGAGAGTATTCACAACATCACTATTTGATTCGGGATTGGCTCTTTCTTCTCCAACAGTAATTCAATCGGTATAGTGATTTAATTTGATATATCTAGTCAGTGTAAATTCTAAAATATATCAATTATGAAAAGAAAAAAAAAATCTAAAAAAAAAAAAAAAAATGATAAAGATAAGTTTTCTTTAATTTTTTAGACTTCTAAACTTTCCGATATTCCTTTTTCACGATCACCTTTCCCCTATCACTGCTCATGTAAAAATAAGAGTTGTGGTATAAAATTGAATTTTTTATTTTTTTTATTATTATTTTTTTTCAGATTTAACGTAAGGCCGAGTTGATAATTTAAATTGTGTGTGTGTGTGTGTGTGTGTGTGTGTATATATATATAATTAGTTGATTAGTCCATTTGAACAAGTCAGTTTGAATGACTAGCATATTTTATATCAGGGCAAAATGTATCTATAATTGTAAATAACTTAAACTGAATTCAGCCCAACTCCATCAGAAATGGGAATCGGAAATGAATCTGTCAAGGACCAATTTGAAGATCCTACAGACATAAATGACCCTCATGAATATTAGTTTTAATGGATTTTGTTCCAGATAGAATCGCTATTAATACTGAATTTCAATAGGATCAATATAAAGAATTCAGAAATTAGAGGAAATGGATCGATTATCACAATTATAACAATATTATAACAATTATAACAATATTATAACAATAAATTATAACAATATTGAACAATAAGATACGAGATATTATAATAGACTTACAGAAAACTGTCTGTATTGAACTTCCAAACTAGTATAGAGAAATATTACAAGAGGAAGAAAAGGAAAATGAAAGATACATTGAAGGGAAACATTGCCCTCTATTTATACATGAAATGGACTTGAAATTAGCATTTTGAAGTCCGCATAGTGCATGGGATCGTGTGCTTGAATAATGCAGTCGGTCGGCCCACCACTAAATGCTGTCTCCTTATCTGATGGAAAGTAGACATCTGATTAAGGGAATACTGTAGAACCAAAGACTTTTGGGAAAAGGTCTTTGTCTTCTTCTGTCGGCAGGATAAGAGGAATCTTTACTTTTTGGGTGGATTCATCTTTTCCTTCAAGTGGCTGGTGAGAGAATCCCAGTAATCAGCTACTGTGGGTTCATCTTCAGAAATAAGATCTTCATTGGGATCTTGTGCATAACCAGCTAGAAAGGAAAACTGATTACCATCTTGACTGGTCTGGCTAGAGACTGATATCATGGAGGCATCATCTCTTACTGTTGATGTGGAGGAATCAAAAGTTGTAACAAATTTATTCCTCATAAAATCCATGCATTTAACCATTAAATCTGCTTCGGTAATTAATGGTTGTTGCTTTCTGATCATATCTTTAACAAGTTCAAATGGGTTAAAGATATCTGGTTCTGGAATAGTTAACTTTGGAATCTTATCCATGTTTTCCATTGTTTTCTTTCTGATAAGATGGAGGAGGGCTTGGATAGGTTCTTGAGTCATGCCTGACCTCCATCGGTAATAAAATATCCTCTGAAGGACTGGTAACTTGTCAGTGGTATAACCACATTGGAAATCCCATTTCCAAATCCAAGGGATTCCAAATTCAGTAAAGAACAATAGGGTGGATTTCCCTACAGGAATATTATCCTATCCCCTTAATTGAGGATGAAATTGTTGCCATGGCAGGTATAACTGCCTAATTAATTCGGGCAAAACATCCAGATCAGGGCCAAATATAGCCCACCAGGGTATAACCCAGTTTGGGAAATCAGCCTTGACTGATTGAGGGCATATCTTGAAGAACCAAGAATGCTTATGCTTCGGATTTTGATAAAAGAACGAATATGTCCATGCTGAGATATAATCCCAATAATTGTAACTATGACCATAGGATATTTTCCTTGGCAAATTAGGATTTAATCTCCAGTCACTAGGCCGTATAAGCCTCTTAAAGATAGCTTTACTATAAGTAAGAGGACTATCTTTGGAATTCGGAAATTGCTTCGTGTGGTTAATTTCCACAGAGAAAGTTTCAGTAAGAATGGCTTCATAGATATATCTATGGCGACTATCTGGTGCAGCATATTGTTATGTTTGGAAATATCTGGATTTAACTTCCCAAGGATCTGGCATCCATTGCTCATCTTAAGAATCCAGTACCAATACTGTCTGAATATACCTTTGATTAGGTATCCATGGAGTTTCTTGTTCAAGAACCTCTTTCATGGTTGGTTTCTGTTGTTTTTGTTGTGAACTGCTGCTGCCTTTAGAAGGTGTACTGAGCAGATCAGCAACATGATCCAAATATGGAAATTGATCATCATTTAGTGGTATAACCACTTTGGCTTTAGCCTTGTTTTTGCCACGAGCCTTTGGAGTCTTACCACGGCCCTGCCCATGGGGGGGCTGATTCATGAACCCTGCAAAAATTCACGAGTTAGAAAATCAGGTAAAGAATTAGAACTGCCTTTAATATATTCAATAGAAAAATCAAAAGCAGATAAATCAGCTTGCCAACCAGCAAATATCTGTTTGGAAACTAATTTCTTTACATCTTTTTTCAGTACTTGTTTAGCAGCACTACAATCAATGCGTAACAAGAATTTCTGATTGATTAAATCATCTTGGAATTTATAAATGCCTTTAATCAAAGAAAGAATTTCCTTTTTGATGGTTAAATAATTCAGTTGTGCATTTTTCCAAGTTCCTGAAGAGAAGCGAACAAGCTCCTCCATTCCTGTATTTGGATTCTTCTATTTAAGAATACCTCCATATCCAATATTGGATGCATCTGTTTCTACAATTTTGAACTATGAAGAATTGACTAGAGCTAAGCAAGGGATTTGTTTGGCTCTGAGTTTAATCTTCTGGACGGCCTTGGTGTGTTCCAAAGTCCATGGGGAAGAAGATTTCCTTAACTTGGTGTACAAAATTGTTGTATCCTGTGCAAGATCTCTGTAGTGATTTCGAATATAATTCAAACTACCAAGAAATCTCTGAAGTTGAGTTTTATCCTTAATTTCATCTGGAAATTTAGAAGCAAACTCAATACTGCGATCAATAGGTCTAATTTTTTCATCACAAATTTCATGACCAAGAAATCTAACCTGGGTTAGAAACAGTTTTAGTTTAGGAGCAGAAACTACTAAACCACTTCGGTAAATAACATCTTTGAAAATTTTCAAGTGTTTATAATGCTGATCGATTGATTTTGAAAATATGAGAATATCATCAATATAAACAATAGAAAATTCAGTATAAGGATTAAATATGTCATTCAAAATATGTTGAAATTCTGAAGGGGCATTTTTTAATCCAAATGGCATTATTGTCCATTCATACTCTCCAAAAGGTACGCAAAAAGCTGTTTTGTACCTGTCCTCTTCTGCAATCTGTACCTGGTAATATCCAGACTTAAGATCAAATTTAAAAAATATTACAGCAGATTGTAATCTATCTAAAAGATCTTTGATGTTGGGAATTGGATATCGGATCCAACTCAAAGCAAGATTGAGTGGTCGATAATCAATAACCAATCGAGGAATTCCTCTCTCCTTTTCAGCATTTTTATTGACATAAAAAGCTCTGCAACTCCATGGGGAGTGGCTGTCAGTGACAAGCTTCTTTGCCATTAAAGAGCTGATTTCAGTTTTGCATAATTCCAAGTAGTCAGCTTTCATATGGCTGGGACTAGCTTAGAAAGAATTATGTGATCAGTAAATCCCTTTTCATAGGGTAAAAAAACAATATGCTTCTTTCTGGCCCAAAAAGCATTAGGAATCTCACTGCAGATTTCCTTTAGAAAGTTTTGTCGTATTGACTCAATTTTCTGTTACTCAGTGGGTTGTACCAATCTTTGATTAATTGCTAAGGAGGATACCTCCTTTTGCAAATAATTCAGTTATTTTTCCTTAAAGATAATGTTATCTTTAAGAGCATTGATATGCTTATTTACTGGTGGGGTCAAAAACTGAAAAGTAATTGAATGGCCATGTAAATTAGAGCATATTCCATGAGAATCAATTTTATCAATTGGCATGATCAAAGCTAAAAAGGGGGTGCCCAAAATAACTTGTTGTGCCATATTTCTGATGGGTAAGAAAGTAAATAATAAACAAATACCTTCTTTACAAATAAAAACATGATTAAGTTTATACTTAATCTGCATCTTACCTCCACTTGCACTGGTAAGACCTTGAGTGGTTTTCTCAAAATATTGAGTATGAACTAATCCTTCCTGTATACAGTTCATATTTACAAATTTAACTTCTCAGACTTATTTGATATGCAGTTTTATCAAAACATCACCTAACTATTGGAGGATATTTGATCAAAATCAGTACCATTTGGATGTTTGCGTTCTAATAAATTTTAAAAAAAAGAACTATTGCTGCAAATAACTTTTCTGAAATGGGCCATACACGCCCCTGAGGCTTATCAGTGAAAACACCCATAACAATTGGCCCACAACACAAGCCTGAGATATGGAATCGAATTCATTTTAGAGCGAGCCAGTACCCAAATGTACTAGAAATTTTTTCCCAGCACTAATAAGATAACATTTTATTTTTGTTGATAAATAATTACATATTAACCATAAAAATACATTAGCACCATAAAAGTAGTGTTTTCACATTAGAACTCATGTCAGGTAAACCAAAAAAAATGCCGTTCCACACAAAAATAGAATCCCAAAAGGAAATTATTAAAAGTAGAAACAAACTTTCTCACGAAAAGGAAATTATTTCCTTTTATTCACTTCCGAAAACTAGACTTTACGAAACGAGGCACACTGGGCCTGATTAGTGTTTTGGAGCCTTTATGTAGCCCAAATGTGTCGAATTTGCGACTTTTGTAAGGGTCTTCAAGTCATAAGCAATCCAACACAACGAAGTGTCTTGATGATAGAAATAGCCCAAGCACTTGCAATCCTTTGTGCATTTATTCGAGCAACCATTCTCCTTCATAGGCCCATCTCCCTTTGTGTACTTACTCATGAAATGCTCCACCCCTACTATTTTGTAGTAGTAAAAATCATTCACCCCACAAGAGGTGACCTTCACGGCCTCACAGTCCTTGCTCCAACCCACCAACCCATTGGGCTTGGGGCATCCAACACACTGGTTGTCTTCACAAAGCCCAAATTTCCCACACCGCTCCGGCAACTGGCACTCACTTTCATGGTTGGACTCTCTGTCAAATAGGGTGTATGTCACCTCCCATGCACCAATGTCCACCTTGTCGTTGTAAGTGTAAAACTTGATGTTCCCGTCAATCCCCAACCGGAGAAAAGATAACGTGGCATTGTATTTGGGCCTAGCCAAATATCGGTTCCCAGTGCTTGAAGAACCGCTCACTTTGTAATCAAATAGAAGGTAATAGGCATTACCACTATCTGGTTCACTATTAAATGTCACATACTCTAAACTGCCTTGACTAACAGTAAACAATCCAGAAGATGTAAAATAAAGCATTGGCTTTGGGGAATTCATGCTTTTATAATTCAATGCCAACCATTTGGGCTCAAGTACCAAGCTGTAAGCCCCATTAACATTGTTACTAGCTGAAGCCCGGCTGACAAGTTTAGTGGGCCCCTTGGCCTTAAGAGACTGGCCCACCAAGAGAGTGTCCGTTGGGTGGTCAAAGCTATGCCATATGAACTTATTATTGGAGTCATAAAGGACAATGTTACCATTAGAGAGTAACTTGAACCCAACGACACCTTTGTTGGCGGTGCCGGTGTGCCATGCAATCCGGCCATCGGCATCGGCCAAGACTAAGTTTCCGTCGCTCCCAAACGTCAGCGTGGCATTTTCGCGAACAGGGTTTCCCCTGTTAGCCTCCCATACCCATCGGAACAGCGACTCGGACCTTGTCAAGCCCATGCGTAGAGCTAGGGTGAAGGCATTAGGAGTGGTGTTATAGAAGCAAAGTTGGAATGGGGAGTTGAAAACACTAAGGGTACGATAATTTCCATCATACTCTATTATGTAAGGACCGAATTCGCCATCATTGACAAACTTGAACTGGTTGGAGGCAGGAACAGAAGCTTGAGATATGGAAAAAGAGGATAGCAAGAATAAAGAGAACAATGGAGCCATAAACGGCTTTAAAGAAGACATTTCAGTAGTGTTTGTTTTTGTTGCTGTGTGACTGCTAAAGCAGATATCCTTCTTTTTATAGGGGTTGAGGAAGGGTATTTCAGTAACAATATTATTATAAATACATGCATATATATGAAATGCAACGTCGGTCAAAATATGAAGCTAGTCATACAAGAGGGGCGGCTCCGCAACAGCGCAAGAGTCAAGTGTTTGTATGTAAATGTACACAGATCCAAGTGGTACACCAGCCCTTACAATTGTGGCTGAGTTCATAAAGAGTTAAAAAAGTTCTGGTACCACGAGGGTCCCACCTCAGTGAATCACACGGTTTTAAATCTTCAGACATGGTGGAAATATAATTATTTAATGTTATTGAATTGACCAATTTGAAGAGTATTTTTAATTTGTGAAAGAAGAGCAGTCTTTTTAATTTTAATTTTAATTTTTTTTTTTTCCCATCCTTTTTATTCTTCTTCTAAAAATGCTTTCCAATAGGAGTTGTGCCATAAACAGTTAAAATGTATGTTGTTGAACTCTTCATATCTAACTAGCTAACTGAAAGCACAAGGCGGAGTTGATAATTTAAATAGCATATATATTATATTTAAAATAATTAGTTGATTAATTATTGTATCATTGCCTTTGATTTACGAGAAATTCAATTCACACGTCACTCGCGCATGCCCGAATTTCTCTCCTCCTCTTTGAAGATGTGTAGGTTAATTATATCGCTTGGCTCATTAATTAGTGCATTTGAACTAGTCAATTTGAATGATTAGCACATATTTTAGATTACGCCAAAATGTAAATATATAATAATAATAATAATAACTCCTGAATTATTCTTAAAGTTGTAAATAATCTCCTTTAATTTCAAACTAAATACCATCAAAATAATAAAAGATTTGCAAGTATCCTTCTCTCCAAGAACTGTTAATAAAATGATGAAATTAAGCAACTGCTATTAAAAATAAGAATGAAAAAAATGAGTTAAAAAATAATTATTTTGAATTAACAAAATTATCCAAATTTGAGTTAAGACTCTAGATCTTTGGAAAGTTAGGTTCCAACTTTCAAGTTACCCACAAATGCGACCAAGTTGAAGGAGGATTTCTTGCAATTTAACTTTTTAAATTATAAAATATGCAAACACTAAAAAAAATAAATAATAATAATAATAATTATTATTAATTAGAATTTAGACTTTAATATGATAAACAAACAATTATTTAACAATTTTTATACTGTAATTCAATAAAAGAACATTAGTTAGACTTTAATACGAAGAAAAAAGAAAAAAGAAAAAAGGACTTTTAATGTGATAAAGAACAAAAAGAGGGCCGGCGTTATATACTGGGGTGGTCCATGTCTTCAACTTACAGAAACCAATGGGCCTTCTCGAGAATGGCCCACTTCATGGTCAAAACCGTCAAAGGCCTGAAGGCTGCCCACGCTCACTCTTATCCGACCAGAATGCTGCTTCTTGGAGAAAAATCCTCTGCAAGGCACCTCTCACTAGAGGTTGTCCATGGAGAGGTAAATTGCTGACATGGCTGATTGAGTAAAAAAAGTATTTACTTGAGCTGTATATACATACATACGTATCTGTGATTTATACAAGAATTTTGGTTGAAATTGAAATTTCCCCCCAAAAGTCTGAATTCATTTTCCTCCAAAAGTATTCTATATATTTAACTCTCTTTCTAAGATCCAAACTAGAGGATGGAAGTTTCAAAATTGAACAAAGAAGCAGAGCAAGGAATATTCTGGCAAAGTTACATGTTTGGATTGGATTTGTTTATTATTATTTTTATTACTTGCAGAACTAATCTACCCATTGGTAGATTGTTTTTAATTTGTTGGTAGAGCATAATCTCTTAGGCTTTCTTATTGTATTATTTTCTTGTTGAATCTTTAATGTTTTTTCATATACATACATCAAGCTCCGATCTTTCAATGGTACTGCCCTTATCAGTGGTGTAAAGAAAACCATTTGGGTCTCTTCTCTTTCTTAATTTAAGATTTAAATGTATATTGTGTGTGTGTGTGTGTGTGTGTGTGTAGGGTTTTACCAATTGTTTTCACGGGTTTTCAATTTGGTTCTCAATCAATTTGAGATCAGTCGATTTGGTTTAGGATGGATTTTCAATTTCTATTTTACTTTTGATACTCACAAATTAGGGTTATATACATGTATGTATATATATATATATATATATATATATATATATATATATATATAGTGTAATATTATTATGCACCATGCAGACCCAATATATATATATATTATGTTTAGGATGATGATGATGGTGATGGTGGTGGTTGTATATGGTTTTCAAGTGTATTTGGGTCTACGTAGTGCATAATATTATACAATATGTATATAAATATATATATATATTTATATATATATATATATAAACAAATTATATCAGTATGGTTAACAAGCTTGCCCATTTAAACGAATAATCAACATTAACATAAGGGCGGTCCTATTTATATTTATTGTATAATATTTACATATATAATTATTTTGGGCATGTATATACTTTGCAAATGTAAATAGGACCGCCCCGTGTTAATGTTGATTATTCGTTTAAATGGGCAAGCTTGTTAACCATACGGATATAATTTGTTACACAATTTCAAACCAAATGACTTGTGTGGAAGAAATTTCAGAGTTTCTTTTTCTTTTTCTTTTTTTTCTATTTTTTTTTTCTTTGAAAAAAAAAACATAATTAGTACATAATTTGTATTGTATATAATGTTGTCATTTTATTGGAGTTAATTGATTACAATGTTGTAAGTCAATACTTTATATGTTTGTACAAGTTTCTAATGGTATTTTCCTTGAGTTTTTCCCTATTTCAAATGAAATATATAATGTATTTAATTATATTTAGAATCAAGAACTTGAACTGTATTTTTATTATTCTTTCATATCTCTCCTCTCGGTGAATAATATTTTGGGTTATCACGGTTTTTGTATTACGAATTCTGTATTGTCAAGTTCTCTTTTTGCTGGGTGAATTATTTATTAACAGGAGACAGCGTAGCATGTAACATCAATGAAACGTAACAACAAACAAACATTATTTTAGAATGACAACACAACTTAAGCGTAATATGTTTCAAACGTAAATTATATCTGGCATCCCAAATTACTTGTAACATGTATCACTTGTTATTTTTATATGACTTGTATCAAATACGTAACACCAATCAAACGTAATATTAAACAAATATATCTTCAAGACATCACAACTTTAAAGTGCAATGTTTCAAATATCAATTATATGATACATCTCAATTTAATTGTAGCATATATCATTTATGAACTTAATAATACAACAATAATATAAAAAGGAATGGGAGAAAATAAATCCATCAACTTTCTTTTATGAGTGGAAGATTGTCCCATTGTCAAAAGTGAAAACATGTTACACAACTTAAAGATAACATGTTTCAAATGTAAATTATATCTACCATCACAAATTAGTTGTAACACGTATCACTTATTATATAAATTAATGTCTAAAACATAATGAATACTTACCTATACATATCTTGATTAAACATTGCTATTTTACTTCATTGTTGGCAAATAAATTTTTTTTTTTTTTTTTTTTTTCAAAATCAAATTATATTAATCAACAACCGAAGTTTAGACGATACTTTGTGAAGTATATTTTTTATATGTGTTATGAAAATATTCTGATACAATATTCAGTTCATACATGATACATGTTGTAAGAACTTGTGATTCTTATTTATTGTAATTTAAAGTTCTAAATTTACCTATCCAACTAAAATTCTATTATAATTGGGCAAAAAAGTTATTAAAATTCTATTACACGTTTTTAGAATGACATCACAACTTAAACTTAACATGTTTTAATGTTGTTATGTCATTCTGAAATATATTTGTTTGACGCTTCATTTAATTCATGTAACTTTTTTGATACAAGTCGCATCAAAATAATATATGATACATGTTATAAGTAAGTTAAATATTTCATATAATTTAGGTTTGAAACATGTTACATTTAATTTGTGCCAGTTGTTCGTAAAATATGTTTATTTGTGTAGGTGCAAAGACTTGAAAGACTTTGAATAAAATTACAAAAAATTCTAAATCACAATCTATCACTTAAAATGATAAAAGATTTAGCTTACCACCGGAATGTATGGAGTTTTTTCAAAATAGATCTCAAAGACGAGAAACTTTGCTATTATGTTCTTTTATAATTTTTTTCCTTTATGTTTTTTCTTAACTCCCACGGTTAAAGTAAGTAACAAAATTTATTATCCAAGTCTTCAATCCATCACAAACAATGCATAGCTCAAGTACCATTTATTCTAATGCCATCCAACTAGAGGTTTTCAAATTGAACCTGCCAACAATCTCATCGGAGTCAACCCAGACCCAATTCAACCATCCAAAGTCCTCTTTACCCAATTCCTTATAACGTCAATTGAATTTTCGTATTTCCATTATATATATAGAGAGAGAGAGAGAAGAATTGTGGGGGAAAAATTATTTTAGACTTTTGGTTTCGAAAAAGGACGATACCGATTTGGAGAGAAGAAGAAAGACAAGAACTAGAGGAGGAAAAATGAAAAAGAAAGGGAAGATGAATAAGTTAAACAAGAATCAGAGGGGAAAAATGACAAAGCGTGGGGGAAGATAAATAAGTTAAAAGTAATTTGATTTTGACAAAAGATAAAAGGTGAATGGGGTCCCACATATAAGTAAATAAAATAATATTGTATATTACTTGTGTATATTGTATATGTACATAGTAAAAGAAAATTTGACAAAGTAACTTTTTTACTTCAGTTGCTGAGGTGGCGCTTAGTGGGCAGTGACTAGACAAGTGTGGCTGAGTTGTCTTCATCACAACCGTAGGATCCTCCATGGACGGCCTCCAGTGAGAGGTGCCATGGAGAGGATTTTTGCCCATGCTTCTTAATCCCATTTCTTAACACGGAATGGATATTGAATGGCCCTACCGTACCCTATTGTCTGAATG